GGTCAACAAATCATATACAGATAATCTTAAGAATACTTTTCTTTATATGTAATACTGTTTTTTAATCGCTTTATAAAGAAACTACTAAATTATAATTATGTCCAGTTTTCAAGCTATACTTTTGGCTTTTTATATGTTTATAAATATTTAGGATTACTTTTATGATCGCTTAAATTAATTATGAAGCTTGATTGAAACGATCTTGTTATATCAAAAATCGATTTAACTATATATTTTTAATAAATACTTTTGTTAAAATAAAAGTTTATTTGTGAAAATTGACAGACATACTTCTTATCCATGATAAGACAAATAAGATAGTTGGCTTCTCACGAACTTTCAGATAAAATTGTTATTTAGCTAAATAAGTATAATTGCGATACAAAAGAATGTTTTACTTAATAATGTCATCGAAATAAGTCAGGTAAAAACCTAAACATATAATTCATATATAGTGCTTCGAAAATAACCTATTTAGTAATACACGAAATTATTTAACAAAACAACGGGAGGTAGTAAATATGAAGAAAAAATTGCTATACGAAACTAATAGATTAAAAAACGATGGCTCCATTTTTTTTTAATTAGAAGGGCAAAATAATTCATTCATAAAAGGATCTATTCAAATTCATTGTAGTGATATCTCTATTTTGTATTAATCTCGTATAAGTCATCGTTTTATTATTATTCGTGATAGAGTTTCTCTTGACTATGGCATAACAGAGAGTGTTTGCAGCAGTACAGCCTTTTCTATTATAACTTTATAACAGAAAAAAAGATTGCATTCAACTTAAATATTTAGGATTCAAACTACGAAATTTAGAATACAGACGATATTGGTCATCAGCAAGTCAGATATTTGAATTTGTACGTGTATGGTATATGTATAAAACTCTTACTCTTACATATTTGACAAAAGCTCTTTATTGTATTCTTATAACGACTGCACAAACTCATCAAGTTGCATAAAAGAATATTTGAAGTTGAAAAATAAATATTTACAAAAAGTTAGTTTCCGGTGTGTTTGTCTGTATATGTGATAAAAATGCTATCTTGCACATATTTCTTGAAATATGTTTCCTTTAATTTCAGCTATACTTTTTTTCTTATGGAACTGAATGAGTTTTATTTAATTATTATAGAAAAAGCAAACAAAACTTTTCTGAAATATCAAACTATAAGCACCTTATATATATATGTATATTTTCAAATAAAGCAAAATCGTCAGTAGAATATATAAAAAAAAATTATTATAGAAAAATAATTATTGCGTAATAGAACAAGTGTTTTCGTTTTGCGTGATCAAAAAATTAAAATATTTCTTTTTCCAATCATTAAGTCATGGAACTTAAAATGATATTTTAAAAGCAACATGTTTCAATTCATGCGTTTGAGTTTTTCATTAACGAATGTTAACTGTTTTCTACGAAAACGTATTGTGAATTCCCTGATTAACTATATCGTTGATGATTTATAATTTGTTGTCTTAGTTATCAAGGAGAGATACACATGCAAGTTGACAACTATTTTGTGTTATTATCTTTATTTACATTATAATAGATATAACAGATACGTTTACTTCAAAGTCTATTTCAACCTACTACTAAAACTAAAGTCATAGTTCAATATATTGACTTGTTCTAGGGTGTGATACTATTATAATTTTATATATTCCACACGTATTTTGATACAATGAACTAAATGCAATGGAAATTTATTCAGTTTTGTAGTGGTAAACATTAATATTATTTGTATACTTTTCTGTAAGGTTAAAAACATATCTAACAGTCAAAAGATTAATTGTAGATAATTTGAATACTTGTGATAAACTTAAATGTATATGACACTATAATTTAAATTAAAAACAACCCATTCTAATAGAAGTAAAAAAAAATTACGTTCACCAAACAGTAAAAACGTTGTTTTTTCCAAACTATTAGAAGATCAATTTTGATAGCGTACTTTGTTGTACTGGGCTAAATTTTTTTTCTTACCTAACAAAAACATTTGGTTGTTTAGCATACAAATCATAAAACTTACAATCAATACCCGAAGTCGACGGCGCTGAATTTTTAACCATGGAAACTCTAGTAATTATTGTCAGTGTCTTTCTAAAGTAGTGACCGTAATCGTTCCATTAATTATCTAGACGATTCATTACATATCAATAGTTGTATTCATAAATGTCTTACATATGACTATACAGCTTCATAGTTATTTTTTTGTCATCATTTTCTCAAAGCTTTAAAAAAAAGAAAATATTCTAAAATTCATCTTCTGTGTACAGTATTGGTACGGAAACAAGATTTCATAACGAAAATTGATAAAAAGCAGCTATTGCTTGGATGTCGAGTCTTTCATGTTACGTTTGAAAGAACATTTTCCGATTTCCGATTTTCTAGGTGACTACAACACAAAATATCAAATTCATCTAGCTATATCTAGAGTTTAGTAAATAAAGTAAATATAGTAGTACTTCAATAAATTGCTTCACATCTTAAAAGTCTAAAAAAATTGTGTGATTCTTAAAAAGTATCTTCTCTGAAGATGAATTACATTAATTCTATCATATTTATTTCTTTTGTTTTAAGTTATTTAATTTGTACTAATCGTAAATATTTATTATTACTCTCATTGGTTTAGTAAGTGTTTCGAATTTGAATCGTGTTTACTTTATTTCCATATTTATCATATTCATAAAGAAAATTTTATTGATTTTTGAAGAATATTAGTTTTTTTTAAATATTACGTTTCCTATGCGAGTACGTAAGCATTCATCTACCAGTGCAATAATAGCTTATACCTTTCTAAAATTATAAAAATTAATTGTTTATTCAGGCATCGAAAAACTTTTTAAGTGCATGCTTCATGTAACGACTCAAAATAATTATTTTATATCATAAAAATAACGATTACTAGTCAGTTGCTTAGTACCATCATGAAAATTTCATTTTTAATTATCTCATAACTAAAGTTTTTTAGCTAAAAGGAAAAATCTGCCCGCATCTCAAATTTCAACAAACTATTTTAAAATTTTCAAACAAGTTCATACGTTAAATTCTAATCGTTAAATTTCTAGCTTCACTTATTAAAATGATATTCAAATTAGATAAATCGTTTCTTCTAATACACAAATTAGCCACCCTTCATAATGTTTTAGTTGGTATCTTTATCTTGTAAAACCGATAAGGCCTGTGCTTTTAACAATACACAGTTACGCATCATACAAAAATTGGAATTTTTACGTAAAAGATGTGATTCTTCTTACATAAAGCAATTCTCTATATCACCTAAGTATTTGTTGTAGTTGTGACACATAGTATCTGTAATATGAGTGCATCTGTTAACTTAGGTTGCCTTTAAATTACATGATAACTTAAATATTTATTTCACCAATAAATGTAAACGAATACTAACAAAAGTGTCATAAAATGTTTTTATAAAATAAATTTTTATTAGATGGAAATGCTTGTTATGTAATGCACTGTTATATTAAATTTTACTGTAAAGATGATCAACTATTATATTATAAACCTCGTATATGTAGATCAAAAACAGTAATATGATTTTATATAATCTTATTTATGAATTGTCCGAATTTACTAAAAATATAGAGTTCTCCTGAAATACTGTTACACGAATTTTATATTACTGTTTGCCATATACTTTCATGTTACTCATTATTTTAGTTTACAACTAATAATTTTCATAGAGTTTATTGATGTTGCTATTCGCTAGCATATAAAATGTTTGAACAAAATAATCACGATATCGCGTTATTAAAAATATTTAGTAATATAAAAAAATTAACCGATCATTTAAACTATATATTTATATATTTATTCAAAAGCGATTTTTATAACTATAATAATGTTTTATTGTTTAATGATCTTTTTTTTTAAGTTAAATAAAAGGTTTCTAAATTAACATAGATACTTTTTTGAGTTCGGTCATTTATGATGTTTTCATAATTTTTAAAAAATAATAAACATTAGATAAATGCTCTAGTATGATTGAAGTTTTAATAACTTTTTTCATTTTATTTTTTGTATAGGATAGATACAGTTCGTATAACCAACCAATTTCCATACCGAGCTCGTCTCGACGATGAGCATATAAACAAAAATTTGTTTTAAATAAAAAATCAAACAAATTATCCCATTCTTTACCAATTGTTATTTCGCAAGTATTAGTATTTACCATCTCTATCAAATTCATGATATGTATATGAAGATTATAATAATCTTTACATATTGAACAAAACAGTAATTTATCAAATTCAACGAAAGACGAATGAATTTCTTTTCCACACCAATAACATATTTTGTATCCAGCCACATTCATCATCAAGAAAATAATATGAATAAAGCAAAACTTCAACAATTGAAAAAGAAAAATTTATAAACTAAGCGCCTTGCAAACTGTACAAATCTACTGATATCGAAAATTTCCTAAGAAATATATAAACAACATAATTATTTTAAAATTGTTTCTTCATGTTTTCTATCATACATAATAACATATTTACAGTTGTCATAAAGAATTCTCAAATAAGGTTTATATAGACTAAGAGATGCAATCTCATAACTTTGACTACTTTAAATCTTACAACTAAAAGAAAATTTTTATTAAAGGTACTAAACATTAAGTTTTTTAATCTATGAAAAGTCAATGTTTTTCTTTCTAGTTAAATGGATTAGTAACATATATGAATCAAATAACTCAACTTGAAATCTTTATTTATTTACCAAAATGAATACATTGCATTACAACTTCTTGATATATTTTATCATTAAATAAATATAATTTTATTTAGCAATTAAATATGTGTAGTAATACAAATTTGACAATTCCACGATAAGTTTCTTTTTCCTTTTATCTTTATCTTCCTCCTGATTTGAAACACATCGACTTTTTAATTAATAATATCATATAGTTTCACAAAATACGTATATGAATGTATTAAATTCTTCAAAAAAACAATACATCTAGAACTACGGAACCATTCAATCTCGTACTATTCTGAATGAAAAGAAATGCATTGCATTGAATATACACATGTTCTTATTAATTACATAAGTGTTTAAAAAAAAACTACGATTTTTTTTAGTTCTTTTCCTTATTCAATGGTCACTAGTACTATGAAAAGTTTCATAACAGTTTAGATCATTCAGAAAAAAAATTGAACAGTAACAAAAAAGTATCTATTGTTACTTATGCGCCATTAAGTTCATTTTATATTCTTTCTTTATTTTTATCACATTAACCTACAATGAATCATATTAATAATATTTCTGATATTGAACAACAAACGCCAGAAATTATGATTGTTTCGCTATTAAATGATATGATTGATCATGTTTTGTTAATGCGTAAACACCATCTTGCAAGACTGAATAGAGAATATGTACGCCGTTATCGAGAACGGAAGCGACAAACTGATAAATCCAAGTATATGCTACAAATGCGAGAACAAAAACGACGATATCGAGCATCACAAAAATCAAAACATCTACCCTATAAATAATTTTTTGTACCTATCTAAAAATCGAAATTCAATTATTTTAAATATAATAAAAATAAAGACACATTCACTTTTCAGTTCTTTCAAATACATGAGACTATACTAAAAATAAATTTTAATTATCGTATTTGTTTTAAATTTTAATTATTGAGTGATTCTAACATGCTGTATGACTAAATTTTCGTTTATTTTTTACATTGAAATTAAAACTATAGTTTCGATTTCTTATTCATTTGCAAATAATATTTTTAAGCAAAAACTATTCTGAACATAAAAGCAATCATAATTTCTACTGAATACTACATATGGATATTCATAGTCAATTGTATGATTATATTCCTGAAGTGATGATTCCAAATTAGATTCGTGTTCAATAACATTATGTTGTCCTATGTGTGATGAAATATTTCGATTGCTAATATATGTTGGTGATGCTTCGAATCGTTTGAAATTGAAATGAATTGGAGCTAACAATTTAAAACCATGTTTAACATATTTTCCGATTCTAATAGCTATATGTGCATAATCGTTATCATCATTATTGAGAGCGTAATTTATAATAGTTGATGTTCGTATCGATTCTATAGCTGCCATTGTACCTTGTAAAGTTTCACCATTAAATGTAAACTGTGTTGCATCAATATCAAAATTAGATATCGCTTGATCTGATGTATAATATGATTTAATAAAAATAAATTGAAGATCAACAAATTGTTTTTGTTGAAGAAGGTCTTGAATTGTTCTATTCATAAACAATCGTAAATTAATAATTTGTTGACCACCATTTTTTATTCGTTTAACATAAAAATATTGTCGCAATTTTGTTTCTGTATTGTACTAGTGTTATATTAATAAATATCATTAACATAAGAAAGAAAATCTAACTTACAACAGAATTTAAATAATCATCGTATGAGATCCCTTTATAGAATAAATCAATATCTTGACCAGGTGATAAAATACTATTTTCAATAAGGCATGTTAACAAGCATCCACCAGCAATATGAAATCTTGAATAATCAATAAGATGATACCAACTAGCATTTCACAGACGAAAAAAAAAGAAGATATACAAAAATCGAACAGAAATGCTAAAATGAAATGAGATTTGAGCATAAAAAAAAATAATTATAGTTGTAAAGTCATTTGAATTTGAATAACACTTCGAATATATATTTTCTTTTTGCTAGACTAAAACTATGTTTATTTTTGTATCTCACAAACGAACTACTCCAAATTAATACTCAATGTTGAACTTGATATGAAATTGACACCAAAGGTTCGTTAACATAAAAACGTGTTAAAGACATTCTGGACCGTTATCTTATGAAAATAATTTCTAATCATTTTGGAAAATTCTACAATCGTCTTATAATATTCATCGACAAGCAAATACGACAGATGTAACTCATAATGTCGACAAAAGATATCTCTTGCGAGTCTTAGAATACCTGGAGAATTCTATATGGGAAGTATAATTCTTCGTCGATATTTATTATCCTCAAGATATAATCATTCCTAAGAGCATTTTATAAAAAGTAGTTCACTAACACATCAAATATCTCGATCAAAATAAATATTTCAGCTGTAGAATTTGTTTACGATATTCTAAAACTCACCAAAGATATGTGTCGTCGATATTCTTAGTCAACTTTGTTGTATTTCATTTTTCTGATAAATATCACGAGATGGTTGTAAAATTTTTCAAAACAATCAAAAATCTGTTTCAGAAGGCAACGACCCGAGCTTTTTACGACTTTTGAGTGTTTATGATTCTTCATTCTACACTAAATTTGAGCTGAACCATTACAAAATGAAATCGAGAAAATTAGTCTTTACTCCTCAAACGATAAAATTCCATCAAGATATAGGTTTCCGTATATCGAACAATACAATTATGCTTATTTAATGAATCATTTAATTCAATCAACATACCAATAAAAGTAAAAAAGATCATTCAAATTATTAACGAATTGATCAAATGATTTAACAAATTTAGGTAATTCATTTGATAATGAATGAATATTGAATATTTGTAATTCTATAGGATGTAGTTCTCTTGATATTAATAATGCTTTACTTTTAAAAACATCGTACAATGGTTGATTTGTTGAATATATTGGCATATTGTACGAGATAAGTCGACAAAAAACTTTGTATTCAGGTATATCAATATACTTCGCTGCTTGTCTAATACTTTCTGAACTAAAGCCACTATGTATGACGGTGGGCCATTTAATAGATGAATTAGACATAGTCAACGCACCATTAGAAAGTTTAAAGAAACTGGGATATTGTGCACATAAATCGGTACATTTGCTCAAAATATTTGTTGTTCTTTGTTGTTCCAAAAATTGTCCAAAGTTCATTGATACTTCATCAATACCTTCCATATTATTAATAGTAACAATTTGTTCACTATCCAAATGAATAAAATGTAACGTTTATTACAGTTTAGTTAAAATAAAAAGAATTAACTTCGACCAAAAAATAATCAACTTAAAATATTGTGAACGAATATTTTTTTACTTATAAAAAATAATAGGTTTACAAACAAAATAAGAATGTGAAAATTTCTGTTTTGAATTTACCGCCATTAAGTAGTAAATTAGATAACTAGCAGACATAAATTAACATTCAACAATAATGAGCAGAAATTAAAAAAATATGTTATTGTTATCGACATTCCATTATGATGAACTTATGATAGACACTATCAGTGAGTCTAATGTTCAAATGATATTCGATCTAAAACTGTATACAACAAATAATTGGCACTTATATTACATATTTTAACTTGTAAAATTTAGTAATACATAATACAACATATCAACATAAGTTTTTAAAAATATCGATCACCTTTATTTAAACATTCTAAATTTTTATTCAATGTTATTTTTTTTATAAAACTGAAAAGATAATGACAGCCAAAAACTTTAAACTGTTTCACAAAATTCCTTTTCATCTATTTAAACAATAATACTGTGTCTCAATGTAATTTTCTATCATGATTTCATTAATTTAAATTTCTTTTGCTCAGTAAAAAAAACACAGGAAAACAAATACTATAATTTAACCTAATAATAATACATATTACGTGAAAAAAACCAACTGCAATTAAATTCTTTTTCTTTTATAATAAAAGACATTAAAAAAAGAAATTTAGACCACTTGTAAATATTGCTTTCAAATACATATTACTAAAAACAAACCTATATAGAATCCTGTGGAGTAAATACAAACTAAAATAGGAATCAATTCATTTCAATATCCATAAAGTCTTTCAAAAAAATTTTTTTGGATTGCACCACAATAGCAATTTATTAACTAAGAGCCTATCTATTTCATGATTTACAACAATGAAGAGTACATGAATTTCCATGAAATGTCTCTTAAAATTTTTTTCAAATTTAAAAACATAAAATTAACAAAATGATCAGAAATTTAATCGTTGTGTTACTTTCACATACCGAACATGATACAAACATATACATTAAGACATCAAAAAAATATGATACAATCAATACAAAAAATGTATTCTTTTTTTAAAGACACTCATTGCTAATACTCTGATTTCTTCATCAGAACACACGATAGAACTATTATTAGAATGCGAATCACGGTTGCAAAATCTCTATTTCGAAAATCCCAGAACCTTTTCCAAAACAAACCAGGAATTCTTCTGAAGGTTTTTTTGTTAAATTAGGATAAAAATCAGGACATTATACTTGAAAAACAAAAACTCGTTACTCATAGTTTTTTTTGGTATAGAAAGTTCTTACCGTCGTGTAATAAAAAACTGCTTATAGAATTTCCTAACAGAAAATAAAAAAAACAAAGCATAATATTTTTGTTTATCACTCTTATATTCTGTTACAAAATCAGAACATATCATACTGAATAACCATTCTTCCTTGAATTTACGTATCGAAACTTTATTGATTATGGCAGATGATGATGACAAAGCAGTTTTCAATTTAGAATTATTCTCAAATAATAGTGAATGAACAGTATTTGCAAGTTCAAGTGAAATTGACTATGAGATTTTTTCTAACTCATTTCGAATGTCACTAACAAGCATCATCTGTTTGAGGGCAATTTTCTTAAAACACTGTCTTCTTGTTCTTTTTGTATTTAAAAAAAACTCTTAGATTATCTTTATCTAGGAAATGAAACACTTTAACTTTAGAAAGAAGAATAGAAAAGAAAAGAACAACAATTTTATTCTCTTAATGATGATTGGCTTAATCTAATTCGACAAAAATTCTATTTAATCGATCTTATTTTCTAGTTAGCTAAATTACTCGTAAAGGATAGAGATGGAAAAAAATTACAAAAAAACAGAATACAAAAGAAAGTTTCAAAAGACACTTCCTGATACGAAGAGATTTTTTGACAAGAAGAAAATCGCAAAAACTAGTACTGACCTGCTGAAATTAAGAAATTTGTGAATCCTACTGCGAATTCATTCTATAGTAAAGCGCAAAGAATTGATGCATTTTATGATTTTAATATTTTTCACTCATTTTCATAAGTTAAAGCTTCCATTAATTTAAATATTTAAAAAAATGTCTCTCTAAATAACATTACCATATTAACAACAAAAAAAAATTAAAAAATTTCAAAGTCATTAGTAAAATTTATTCGAAATCGATAATAAATCATTAAAATGATAGTAAATATTAAAAGGCGCAATTGTTTTAGTTCATTCATTTAAGTTTTCTCTTTTTAATCCAACGATTTTTAATAATATGAAACGCACAATTACTGATAAGAATAATACATTATCTTCATCAGCTTTAGTTTCCTTAGATGCGTATATTGTTCATATAAACAAAATTACAAAGAATAATACAAATGATAATCACCATTATTCATTCATTTTATGTATTGAAGATCAATCAACAGTTCGAGTTGTCAAATATTTATCTAAAGTTCCATATTGTTCGTTACATAATCGACTAAAAGAATCGCTTCGAAGTGGCCGAGGAGCTTCAATTACTTCGTTACGTGAGCAAAATGATCAATATACTTGTACAATGTCTACAAAGGTCATTGAAAAAGACCTCAACTTTCGACCTGAATGTATTCGTGTGAAAAATATCAACATTTTAAAAAATGAAATAAACGATCGATTGTGTACAGTAGAAGCACAAATCTGTTCTATTAGTGATGAAATTGCAGTTGTTTTTGAAGAGAGTGAATTTAAACGCGTGCAAAAAAATAAAAAAAAAATAATTATTGGTGATGCGACTGGAGCATTAGAAATGACTATGTGGGAAAGTCATTTTAATGAAATAGAATTAGGCAAATCATATCATATTCGATTATTAAAAATACGAATCTATAATGAACAAATATCATTAGCTGCTACAACAGAAACATCGTACGTATTTGAAACCTATAAAATATAATGTAATGATGTTCTTTTATTTATTTGTAAGATTTATAAAAATTAATGATCTAACAAATGTAATCAGTGAAGTTGATAATAGTATAAATAGATACAATACACAAAAAGGAAAAATCATATCTATAGAGAAATATAACAATCATTATACATGTCAATGTTGTGGTGGTACAAACATAATTGATGAAGCAGGAATAATTGTCTGTATTGATTGCCATTCTCGATTAATAAAAGACGAAAACATGACTGACAACTACTTTAAAATTACAATTTCGACTTTTAATAATGAACAATACGATTTAAAAATTACAAAACCCTTATTAATACTTATATTATCAGAAAAAACTTCTGATTTCATAGAAAGCAATGATGGCATAAACGATGAAAATAATTTCAACAATATTATTTCTTTAACCGTGAACTTTACGTATAGCGAAATAACTGGTATAATTAGTGATATTTCAATAGTTAAAGAAAACACATCACCTCTTGAAAGTATCTTAAACACTATGTTTACTGAATGATTTTCAGTAAAAAGTATTTTACCTTTTTTAGATGAAGCAATTGGTAAAATCTGAACACATCTCATTAACAAATAAACATAAAGCGTTATCAATAGTATTAAATTAAATGAATATTCATCAATAAAACAAAACATATTTATATTTGAGTAACAAATAATACTGCGCACATATAACTTATTTAATAAATACAAATTTAAATTAAAATAAATTATATATATATAATTGTAGAATCGCGAATCGAATTGAAAAAAAACTAATGTAGTACTGTCTATTAATATTTTCTATAACTTTTTCGTAACTTAAATTTACACTCTATCCCACTAATGTTAATGAATTTAAATAATGAATAACCATAAAATATATTTGAATAACAAGATAACATTCCATATAACAATAGAAAACAAAAGAAAACTAAATGAAATGAAAAAAATCATATCGATATATAAAAAATGAAGATATCTAATTTTAAAGAATAAAAATTCGTATGAACGAAGTGCTTGATCAAAATAATATTAATAACATGGCTAGTATCCTTGAATACCGAACCAGCGATAATCTGTACAATATATTTTATATACGTATTAAATTCATGAGGGTCAATTAAATTACCATTTACTAAATATATCTCATTCTATACTGAAAATACATTGAGAAACTTTAAAGAAACTCAAAGTCTACTACAGCCTCTATGAACATCTTTAGCCGAATTATTTATCGACCGAAATTTCGCTCGTTAATACATGTTTAATAAATCATAGCACCCATCACTTTGACTTTCACAATCCACTACATATACGATATGTTAATTAATTTGATGACAGTTGATTATTGTCACTTGCTTTAGATAATTGATCCGATCATAACAACATATTCTTTATTACCAAATGCCTGAATTCTGTATGATATCAACCTTCATATACCCGTATTTCTTCAGTATGCTTAATATTGAGAATAATTAAAATTCGTTTTCCTAGTAACTAATAATAAGGTCATCTAGAACAGAACTAGCAATGTTCGATTTCTCTTAAATAGTTATTTGAATGGTACAAATGTCATAATTTTCGTCGAATATATCGAAATATAAATTATTACAAACTTTCTTTCTTTCGAGTAACTATTTTCGCTCATTCAAATAAATACTTGTGAAGAAAACTATGATATTGATCATTCAATACAAAATAAATCTAGGACAAGAGCTGTCCAAAGTTTTAAAAGCACAAGATAACCAAAATACTCCTGTTAAAAATCAAACAAAGATAGGTTGAAAACAAGTCGCTATATGGCTCTCTTTCAGAATTTTCTATCAATACATAAGCAGTTTTGTTCTTTTATTGATTATTCATACAAGAATTTTCACGGTTTTTTTCGACCTATCGCTATTGTCATTATTAGCACCTTTCTAGACGTCTTGTAGTAAGTTCAAGTAATTATCTTCATGCACTTTTCTTATAAATAACAAAAAAAAACATTTCAAAGTTTTCTTATTATAGGGCTGTCAAAATGAAAATTTCAAACTCTTGTAGTGTATTTAAAAATTTTATTAGTTCTATTCAATCTAAATGTTTTCGTAAACTAACCTATCAGAGTTTACATCAGTTTTTCAAATCGAACGAAAATATATTTTAAACGCTTTCCTACTCTATGCACCATTTACGGCAACAACAACATAAATACACATATCAGGTAAATATTTCATGACATTTTTTAACATATTATACTTAACCAAACAACAACCTGAATATATCGAAAAGCATTGACATGAACTCACTAATATATTCACCTCGATACTGGTAACTATTAATAAACAAACGAACTTATATTGAATAAATCCTCATTATATTGAATAAATCCTCATTTGTTTTAGTTTACCTTTACCACCTCCAGTTTTTTACATTTGATACCTTAAAAATTAAAGACTCTCTATCCAATGACCACTTAATTCATAGAGAATATGTGAGTTCCACATTTCAGCCCCGAAGGGGCTGCGCTAACAAGCTTTTTTTATTATAGTTTCTAAACCTTAGTCCTAATATATCCTTCAAATCTCAGCTCATTTTCACGTTCCTAGGAGAAAAGTAGCTTTTGAGGGTCGGATGGGGAGGGGCCTAGTATGGTATACTTTGGTCTATAAAAGCAAAAGTTAAGACAGGCATAACTTTTGAATGAAGTGATTCGCACTCATATCCTTTTAGGGTTTTTACTATGACAATATGTAGTATCTACAGACAATGTTTCATTGAAATCGGCAGGGGGCACTTGAAAAGGTTCCCTCGTGAGTATTGACACAACGGAAGTAGATGCTATTCAGGCAGAATACCTGGCTGCTACCTTACGTCTTAATAGGCTGATCATCGTTGAATCTTAAACAATCTCAAGAATAGTATATTCATCTGGTAATCTTCTTATAGTCACTCAGGAACTTGAACATTCAACTGAATAAAGTCGGGCCTGATGGCACTCAGCATTTCGCTGATGTTTTACTATATAATGCTGTGATTGCTACTTCCTATTCGTTGAGTTCATATCTATTTGTACATGTTTGGATAGACACTCACTACACTGGATCTTTATGCGAATGGAGCCAGGGTTGTTGGGGCGCAATATCTAACCGATGCATTACGAAACAACATAGTAATCGAAAATTTCTATTTATCTATCTTGAATTCATTCTCTTACGTTTCCATAGACCTTGAGGACGTTGGCATTTTGCAACAATCAAATTGGAGACGAGGGAGTACAAATGATCGCTGATCTATTCAGATATAATAATGTAATACTAATTCTCTTCTTATGTCTCCTACACCTATCTCTTCATTCATATATAGACACTTACCACAGTGGACCTTCGATTCAACGAAATCGGGCCTATTGGAGCACAATATCTCGCTGCAGGCCTACAACATAACACGGTTATTTTTCCATTCTATATTCATACTTCTTATATTTGCCAATATTTTCATTTCTATACAGACACTTCTTATAGTGAATCTAAGTTCGAATATAATTGGAAATGATGGAACGAAATATCTTGCCGATACCTTACGAAATAACACGGTGATCTTTATTGCCTGTTTATCACATTCATATTCGTCAATTTCATTTTCACACAGACCCTATCTGTATTGAGTCTATCTTACAATAACATCGGAGATGTTGGGGCACAACATCTCGCAGATGCTTTACGAAATAACAAGGTGAACTGTATTCTGTTGTCATGCCCATTATGTCTACTTTCTCTTATTGAAATAGACACTCATCAAACTAGAACTTAGCCATAATAGTGCTTACTGCGTAGCTGTTGGAACCGCTATACAAATACGCAATGACAAAGTGGGTTAATCGTCGTCATTACTTCACAATCTCTTATAAATTTTCATGTTCGTCGATAGACGCTCACTACATTACATCTACAATCTAATCAATTGGGAGATTCTGCCATGGAATATCTCGCCGTTGCCATACGGCTCAACAAAGTAATCCTTGTTGCAGATTCATGTATCTTATATCTATGTTAATATCTAAACATAGACAATAAATGTAATAGACCTTTCTTCAGATGGAATACAAGTATCCGGCATACAATATCTGGTTGATGCTTTGAAAGACAACGAGGTGGTTCATACTGTATTTTTATGGTTTTTTACATTTTGTTTCTACATTTAGTTCCTCAACACCTTACGTCTCTCTTCGGATGCTATAGGAGATATTGGAACAGAATATCTTACTGACTGTCTACGAAATAAAAAAGTAACTGTCGTTCTTGATTTGACTCTCAAAGATAGATCGTCTTCTATTTATTCAGAGGCTCGCTATACTAGACTTGGAAAACAATCATATTGAACAGGTTGGGGCACAACATATCGCTAACCTCTTAAGAAACAATCAGGTGAGTCTTATTCTTTCTGCATCAGCACGGTATTCATGTTTTTTCCTGTTTTCACATAGACAATCACCACTCTGTATCTTCAATACAATGATATTGGAGATTTGGGGATAGAAATTTTAGCTGATAGTCTAAAAAATAACCAGGTGAATTTCGTTCTGTCCTAATATTTTTCATGTGTTATCTATTTTCATGCGTGTAAATAGGCGCTTACCACGTTGAGCCTCGAAGACAATCAAATCGGAGAAGAAGGGGCAAAACATCTCGCTGATATGCTACAAAATAACCAGGTAATTTTCAATGTTATATTCTATTTCCCATTTTTCGTCCATTCGCTTGTTATCGGACAGAAACTCACGTTATTGGATCTTCAACAAAATGACATCGGAGATACTGGAGCGCAACTTCTTGCTGATGTCTTAAAACGCAATAAAGTGATTTCCATGCAATGGCTATTATTCTCATATGCATTTTCTCACTTTCAACTAGACACTCCAGACGCTTGAACTTTGTTCGAATAAAATTGGGCCCATTGGGATACAGTATATCGGTGATGCCTTACGCCAAAAGACGGTGACTTCCATTTCCTATTCATAA